GAAACATCACTCTTCCCTGAGAAACTCAAAAGTGCCCCCACCTTATCTGCTGTTAGTAAATCCAAGGCATGGTGGTTTTTGAATAGTGAGTGCAACTAATGAGCCTATCTCTTTTTGTAAGTCTATTATAGAGTCAGAGACCATTTTTAAATTATTGGTTATCAGTTTTAGGTGTTGCAGAGGTGGAGGGGCAGTGGGTCTGGACCATCATATCCCAGGACTGTAATCATGGAGACCAACAGCAACATCAGGCTATTGGTACTAGCCATTACCTGTTAAGTTGGGGTTAACAACTTACCTTTAAAGGAGACAGAGAATACTGGTGAAATACCCTATAATAATGATAAAAGCAAGGGCTAGGTGAGTCCTATGAACAGTTGCCCAGTCTGCTGGAGCAGCGGGTAGCAAGAACCACATCAAAAGTTAAGGTAAGCAGTCCGAGGAGTTTTAGTGATGAGAGATAATGATTATAGTCCATGGGGTGAATTTTAAGGCATCCTGTGAATGGTGTCCTCAGGCTAGTCAGCTGGCTAGTCAGCTCCTGGTGTGATTAGAACAGGGCTGTTGTCTGCTAGTCAAATCTCCAAGGTTAGATTGAGTCCTGAGTTCTCCCATAAAAGTCAAGTCCTGGGGGCATTCTTGGCGTCTAGACATGTATTCCAGGTGTCTGAGACCTTTGTGGAGTAGGCCTTTTTCAGTCAGGTGTGATAGACCCACTGGGTGATACCTATAAATTTAACAGCAGCGAGGGGAGCAAGCACAACAGTATATGACAGCACAAATAGGCGGGAGGGGTGACTTTTTCCCATCTTTAACCCAAAGTGAATCTCTTTACTGAAAAGGATAAGATTTAGGGGGGACTAGTTGAAGGGAGAAGAAGGCATCTTTAAGATCCAGGCAGGTGAGCCAGGCTGCTCATAGAGGGAACAGATTCAGTAGTGCGTAGGAGTTTGGAACTACTGGATGCAGAATGACTGTGTCATTGTTGATTGCCCAGAGGTCCTGTACCAGTCAGTATTGATTTCTGCCTTGCTTTGTAACTGGCAGCAGTGGTGTGTTTCAAGGGGACTGAAAGTCCTTTTTAGGATCCCTGCACCCTTCAGAGGGCTGATAATGTTCTTGGATACTGAGTCATGCCTCTCTGAGTATGACACATTGTCCCAATCTGACAGCTTTGTCCCTGACTTAGGTTCTATCAGGATTGGGGACTGGTTTGTGGCCATCTCAGGATTGGCTTTTTAGCCTACACCTCTGGAAATGTCTGTAGCAGCTGGGGGGGGCGTGTTTTTCAAATCTGCAGTGTGCAGTTTCCATTCATCTTTTCTGGGGATCGTTACAGATAGTATCAGTTCTTTTCATGCATGTAAGGTCAGGTTAAGCAGGTCCCTTGTGGGTAAACATTATGTGCACCCTGAGTTTAGTCATCAGGTCTCTTCATAGGAGAGGGTCAGAGAACTCAATCAAATAGAGGGACTCATAGATCACTCCATGTTTCCTCAATTGGCAGGTGCATGCTAGCAAAAGAGCCATGACATCTGAACTCCAGTTGCCCCCACAATGGTGGCATCTGTCTTGGTGATGCGAACTACCAAGATGGTCACCACAGAATGTTTCGCCCCTGTAAGCACCATAAAGGTTATTGCTTGGACCCCTGACTGTTGCATTTATTGTGGGTTCCCAGGAGGTTCAGAATGAGGGAGCCTGGACTTTTCTAATCAGATTCAGTCTCTGCAAGCCCAATCAGGTTAGGAACTAGTAGCTTGGGTTAGTATTAAGGGCTGGCATGACTGGAGGACTTCTAACTAGGTGTGTCCCACTTTTAATTGGGGCACTTATTTTTCCAGTGTCCTATCGCTTTTCAGTTTTCCTACTTCCATGGTGGTCCTGGTTTTTTTAATAAGATCTGTTCTCACCAGTATATTGGGCTATGAAGGCACCATTAACTACCAGCTGAACTTCAGGAATCTTGGAATCAAATTGCGTGAAGATGTGGAACACCTCGCAGAGTCGCTCATAAAAGTCACTGAGTTGACTTTGCTGTTTTTTTTAGTCAGTGAGACAATTTTTTACCTGCTTGTTGCTTTTTGGCCCCAACATGTACCCCTCTGAGGATGTGTGAGAGGTCAAAATTGTGTGAGAGGGGTTTGTCTGGAAGGGATGTGAGAGTTCCAGGCTGTCTTGCTATCAGGAGCTGTAGCTTCTTTCTGTTCTACAAGGCATATGAATTTCCCAGGGGTCCAACCCTGTAAGTATTTTCATGTCTCAGTGAAAATTGTACACCTCTGTTCAGTGTTGGGGTGGATACAGAAGGCATCAGTCTATCTCTCACATCCTTGCATGGATTCTAGCTTGCTCCATGACCTGCTGCCATTGCAAGGGAACACAGCTGACAAAGAAAGTGTATCAGAATCCAGAGAGATAGGATGTACTTAGAAATAGTTGAGCATATAAAAATGGACTGAAATTCCAGGTGCTGGACCCAACACTGATCCTCCTTGTTCAGGGACAAAAGCAGGTGCTGGGCCCTGGAAATTTAAAGTGAAGATATGTTCACCTCACCTTGTCTCACTCTGGCAAACCAGGAAGGCACTGTGGGAGCTGGTGTCTCCTTCCAGCACTAACTGAGCTGCCTTGAATTGTTGAAAGCATCCCATGGAACCAAAGGTATCCTGAGAGGGACAGGTCCACTTCCCCCAACTCCTGGAACAGGAATGACTCTGTGACTATTTCCAGAGCATCCTTGGGAAGATAGTGGGTTGAGAGAGGATGAACTGTCCTTACCAGAAGAGGGGGTATCCTTGATGGAAATGCAGTGTAGGGGTGAATTCTGGGGGAAGCAGCTCATTGAGTCAAAATGAGATGTGGCAATGGAGGCCTAACTTGGTGAGATAGATTCAGAGGGTCAGTCTGATAGGCCCACATATTCCCCCTGAGAGGGGTGGTGGTTGATATCAGTGGAACCTACAGAGTAAGGTAGAATGTCTTGTTTCCAGTTCAGAAAATCAGGTGTGGTACAAAACTGGTAGAAGAGAGTGGCAGGACCAGGCTGGATGGTGCCATTGTCCAGGATGCAGGGCAGAGGTTGGATCTCACAGACAGGCAGCTGGGAAGCTGGGGTTTGAGCTGATTGCAGATGCTTGAAAAGAGGTGTCTCAGTGGAAGCAATCTTGTCACCATGTGGGATGCTGGAGGGACTGGAAGCTAGAGCCAGAAGAGGCTAATAAGGAGCAGGGCTGGCTGGAGATGGAAATGGGCCCATTGGAGGATTTTGAAGAGCTCTGGTCACTTGAACATGTGGTGGATCTGAAGATAGGCTACCAGATGAGACTGATGGTGGGGATTTTGAAACTGGAAGAGTTGGAACCGGTGGAGTAGGTGCAGATGGCAGCTCTGGAGCATAAGGCAGTAGCAGGGGATTTTCTTCTTGTAGGACCTGATAAATTGGCCTTTCTGAGGTCTCAGAGGTGTAGCTACTGTGATAGCCAACCTGACTCCATCTTGAGCCTCAACACCATTTTGTACCTGTGCTTGGACAAAGCACCAAAAATGCACTTACTGCTTGGCAAACTTCTTACAGTTGCAGGATGTTTTGTAGCTTACCTAATGTGAGAAACTTCCTTATGCCCCCCACAATCCTGGCATGGTTCTGCTTCTGTTGTTGCTGTCCCTTGAGCCTAACCCAACTGAAAGCATGATTTAAAAGGAGGAATAGAACTGCTTCCCATTGTTGAAAGCCATTTATGGGCACTTGCTCCCTCTCAGCCACTGGCTTTAAGAAAACTGACTCCAATCTGACATAGTGTTGTGCATCTCTATTATTCTAGCTCACTCCATCCATAACAGCCACTGCATTGGCCTATGAAAACCTGACTCTTTCCTTCCTATCAATGCATAATTGTACCCATTATGGGTAGCGTCTGGGGCATGGCTTGCCAAGAATCAGTATAGGGAAACTGATACAGGTGGCCTGGTTTGTCAGTAATGACTCTTCAGATTGCATGAACAGCCTGAACATCTGAAGTTCTTTCAGCAGGCCACACTACATTAAACTGAGGCTAATTTATTTCAAAAAGGGTCCAAAAACTTTCACTCTTCAGTCTAATTCCATATTCCCCACTAAGTCCCTTTTAGAAATTTTTGATTATGCAGTCCAAGACCATGGGTTTACTATGGTTCTAACCCATGTTGTATGTATTGCTCTTGAACAGTGGCATAAAAGAAGAAGTCTTGGAGACCTCTAAAGGAAACCTTATAGGTGTCCACCTGGTCATGTCCCTCACAGGAGCTTAGGCTAGTTTTGGCTAAGGTGCACTGGTAATCCTATGCCTGGTCAGCCTCCCATCACCGGAGGTGAGTCACCAATATACCATACAAGGCCACCACAAAACCACAGAGTAGGACCCAATCAGACTCCAAAGCCAAAACCATGGAGTCAAATGGACTATTCATGGAGGATCACACCCAGTTACACTCACATGCACATTAACTGATCACTGTGGTTAAAACATTCCTTCCTTCCTTGGGAGGTCCCTGACTGAAGTCTCTGGCTTGAGTCTGGGAGAGGTGATCAGCCTCTCCTTCAGTCCATTGGGACAGGCCTGACTGGGTTTGAACTGGGCCCTGGGGCTTTGCCATATCCTCAGGTTCTGAAGGGGTTTTTAGTTCACCTCTTCTGCCAAGAGATCAGGATAAGAAAGTGCAGTCATCCATCACCTTCACCTGATGAAGGAGAAACAGGCAAACTGGGCAGAGGTGTGCCATTTTGCCCTTCGAGGAGGGCTCCCAGTGTCCAGTCTCCCAAACCAGTGACTCAAAGGGCCAGCTTAATTAGATTTCTGGCCAGGGAACCAAATGTTGTGGCACAGCAGAATAGCTCGATGCTATAGCCAAGTATTACAGCTCAGTGCCACAGTTAAGTCATATCTCTGAGGTACAGCTGAGTATTACAGCTCAGTGTTACAGCTCTGGGTCATAGCTATCACAATTTGAAGACTCAAGAATGTGATAGTCACTGGAGGTGGAGAAAAAAATCTTTAATTACACCAGTGAGCTCAATGGAGTTGGTACTCTGAAGTCTGAGTGTTTGATTAGAAATGGGAGCCTCCTTATATAAGAGTCATAGGGGCAAGTGAGTATGTTCACTGAAGCAGGGTGCTGGAGTTACATAACATTCCTGAAAGGCACAGTGGGCGAACATGCTCAGAGTCAAGGGGGCGGGGCTAACCGGACATTACAAAAGGGGCGGGGCTAAAAGGAGGAAGTTCAAATAGGCCCTGCATACTATGCTGGTCAGGCCATCTGCCTATATTCCTGAGAATTGTGATGTCACACAGAACTCTCAGAACATTCCAGTCACCGTTGAGCAGAGCACACAAGTCTGCCACAGTGTTGGGTGCCTCAGTGAATCATCTCTTGTACAAACAAATATTACTGAGGCAAACCACACACTGGTGGCTGGATTTTTAAAGGTGATAGTTTGAATATCAGACTCATCATCTGAACTACGTGGCCTTGGTCTTAAAGGCCCAGACTGAAGACTCAAATGCTGCCCTAGGAATCCAGTTAACTCCTGCCCAGATACCAAGTCCTCACAGGTAAATGACTGATGAAAATACTCTTATTAACATATTTAATAAAATAAAAGCCAGAAGGCTTAGAAAGACATACTTGCTAGTCAATAGTTAATCAAATGATAAAAGGGAAAGTACTATTTCTCCCTATAATTCTCAGCATATTTTTGTTCTTATGTCACCATCATATTTTTATAAATTTTTTCACTTGACATATATACTTCAAAAATATTCATGGTATAATATATGACAATTTGACACATGTATACAGGGTATATTATCAACAAATATAAATAGCATGTTAATATTTAAAGCATTTATTATTTCTATTTGCTGAGAACATTTGGATTCTTTTTTACAGATATTTAGAAATATATCTAAATTATTATAAATTATAGAACAATGTCTTATAGAACACTGAATTCGATTCAGTCTATCTGACTGGATTTGGTGCCTGTTATTTATGCAGTGTTGCAATCTAGGTAAACTTCTTATAGATCTCTCTTATAGTACACTGAATCTGATCCAGTCTATCTGACTGTATTTTGGTACCTGTTATCTATGCAGTCTTGCAATGTAGGTAAACTTCTTATTGAACTGTCTTATACAACACTGAATCCGATTCAGTCTATCTGACTGGATTTTGGTACCTGTTACCTATGCAGGCTTGAAATCTAGGTAAACTTCTTATAGAACTGTCTTGTAGAACAGTGAAATTGATTCAGTCTATCTGACGGGATTTTCGTACCTGTTACCTATGGAGTGTTGCAATGTAGATAAACTTCTTATTGAACTGTCTTATAGAACAATGAATCTGATTCAGTGTATCTGACTGGAATTTGCTACCTGTTATCTATGCAGTGTTGCAATCTAAGTAAAGTAGTATTTGAACTGTCTTACAGAACAATGTATCCGTTTCAGTCTGACTGGATTTCGGTACCTGTTATTTATGCAATCGTGCAATCTGCGTAAAGTTCTTATAGAACTGTCATACAGAACACTGAATCCAATTGAGTCTATCTGACTGTATTTTGGTACCTGTTACCTATGTAGTCTTGCCATCTAGGTAAACTTCTTAGAGAACTGTCTTGTAGAACAGTGAAATTGATTCAGTCTATCTGACTGGATTTTTGTACCTGTTACCTATGCAGTGATGCATTCTAGGTAAACTTCTTATTGAACTGTCTTATAGAACACTGAATCTGATTCAGTCTAACTGAATGTATTTTGGTTCCTGTCACCGATGCAGGCTTGCAATCTAGGTAAACTTCTTATAGAACGGTCTTATAGAACACGGAATTCAATTCAGTGTATCTGACTTTATTTTGGTTGTTGTCATCTATGCAGTGTACCAATCTATGTAAAGTTGTTATAGAACTGTCTTATAGAACACTGAATCTGATTCAGTCTGACTGGTTTTCGGTACCTGTTATCTATGCAGTCTTGCAATCTAGGTAAACTTCTTATAGAACACTTTTATAGAACACTGAATCAGATTCAGCCTAACTGAGTGTATTTTGGTACCTGTTACCTATGCAGTCTTGCAATCTAGGTAAACTTCTTATGGAACTGTCTTAAAGAACACAGAATCCGACTCAGTCTATCTGACCTTATTTTGGTACCTGTTACCTATTCAGTCTTGCAATCTAGATAAACTATTATAGAACTGTCTTACAGTACATTGAGTCCAATTCAGTCTATCTGACTGCATTTTGGTACCTGTTTTCTATGCAGTGTTGAAAACTAGGTAAACTTCTTATAGAACTGTCTTAGAGTACACTGAACCTGATCCAGTCTCTCTGACTGTATTTCGGCACCTGTTTTCTGTGCAGTCTTGCAATCTAGGTAAACTTCTTATAGAACTGTTTTATTGAACAGTGAATCTGATTCAGTCTATTTGACTGGATTTTGGTACCTGTTACCTATGCAGTGTTGCAATCTAGGTAAACTTATTATAGAACTGTCTTATAGAACACTGAATCCGATTCAGTCTATCTGACTGTATTTTGGTACCTGTTACCTATGCAGTTTTGCCATCTATGTAAACTTCTTATACAACTGTCTTATAGAAAACTGAATCCGATTCAGTCTATCTGACTGTATTTTGGTACCTGTTACCTATGCAGGCTTGCAATCTAGGTAACTTCTTATAGAACTGTCTTGTAGAACAGTGAAATTGATTCAGTCTATCTGACTGGATTTTCGTACCTGTTACCTATGCAGTATTGCAATCTAGATAAACTTCTTATTGAACTGTCTTATAGAACATTGAATCTGATTCAGTCTATCTGACTAGAATTTGCTACCTGCTATCTATGCAGTGTTGCAATCTAAGTAAAGTAGTAATTGAACTGTCTTACAGAACAATGTATCCGATTCAGTCTGACTGGATTTTGGTACCTGTTATTTATGCAGTCGTGCAATCTAGGTAAAGTTCTTATAGAACTGTCTTAGAGAACACTGAATTTCATTGAGTCTATCTGACTGTATTTTGGTACCTGTTATCTATGCAGTCTTGAAATCTAGGTAAACTTCTTATAGAACTCTCTTCTAGAACTTTGAATCCGATTCATTCTATCTAATTGGATTTTGGTACCTGTCATCTATGCAGTGTTGCAATCTAGGTAAAGTAGTTATAGAAATGTCTTATAGAACACTGAATCCAATTCAGTCTGACTGGATTTCGATACCTGTTATCTATACTGTCTTGCAATCTAGGTAAATTTTTACAGAACTGTCTTACAGAACACTGAATCTAATTCAGTCTACCTGACTGTATTTTGGTAACTATTACCTATGCAGTGTTGCAATCTAGGTAAACTTCTTATAGAACTCTCTTATAGTACACTGAATCTGATCCAGTCTATCTGACTGTATTTTGGTACCTGTTATCTATGCAGTGTTGCAATCTAGGTAAACTTCTTATAGAACTGTTTTATAGAACGCTGAATCTGATTCAGTCTATCAGACTGTGTTTTGGTACCTGTTACCTATGCATTCTTGCAATCTCGGTATACTTCTTATAGAACTGTCTTATAGAACACTGAATCCATTTTAGTCTATCTGACTATATTTTGGTACCTGTTATCTATGCAGTGTTGCAATCTAGGTTAAGTAATTATAGAACTGTCTTAGAGAACACTGAATCTGATTCAGTCTATCTGACTGTATTTTGGTACCTGTTACCTATGCAATCTTGCAATCTAGCTAAACTTGTTATAGAACTGTCTTATAGAACCCTCAATCTGATTCATTCTATCTGATTGTATTTTCTACCTGTTATCTAAGCAATCTTGCAATCTAGGTAAACTTCTTGCCTACTTTACAATTCTTGTTAAGGATTCATAATACCTCCCTTTGAAATACAAATGTCAACTGATATTGACTGAATTTAGAGAATGAGGCAGTGTCAAAATTTGTATTATAGAAATTATACCCTTTCAAATTCCTGTGATGAAAATAAAGTGTTTGTAGATGGTGAGAGGAGAAGCGGATGAAAGGAGAGCAGTGGTAAGAGGTAAAAATGAGAACCAAGATTTGTCATGTAGAGGTATATGATCCCAACAATGAATGTAACTGTACTGTATTCCTAAAATGTACCAATAAACCCAGATAAAGCTTAACAAAAATAAAAAAATAATTCCTGCATTCGAAAATTCCATTTTTAAAATGTTGATATCATTTTATTTTTCTCCTAAGTTATTCCTGTATACAGGAAAAATAAATAATAAATAGTAATACTTGGCAATGGAGTGAACTTCCCATTTATAGAACAACATGTTCAATATGATTCCAACACACAGAACTGAAATAAATGCATCCTAGTTGGCATTTTATTCCAAGTACTTTGCTTTGTTACCAACTCAAACCAAGATGATTTAAGGCATCATCTTTGAGGGAGATGAATTTCCCTATCATCATCACAGATGCGTACAGACAACCTAAAGTAGAATACATTACCAGTTGTATAATAAGACATACAAATATTTACCTAAAGTAGCCACAGCATTTTTCTGATTATTACAAATGAAAAAACTGAAATAGGTGAATTTATAAATTGATAAGAAAGTAAAAATCATAATATAAAATGTTTCCTGATAATTTCATATTTCTGTTCAATACATTTGGTAATTACATTCATTGCAGTAGGAAAATGGAGTCAAATGGTTAATAGCATTAAAATTCTTCTCAAATTAACTGGAATATTTAGATGCTATTATTGTTCATTGCATTTTAATCCATAGTTTGCTGTACAATTCTTGAGTAGACATTCATATTCCTTTTTATTATTAAATATATTTGACACAAAAGAAAATTCATGCATATTAATGAGATACCTTGTGATGGTTTGATATTTGTGTATGTCATGTAATTTTCAAATTACTAATTTTGTTTTTAATGTACTACTCAGGTATCCTGGGTTCATTTTAAAATCTTGAAACTTGGCCTCCAATTGAAGGTCATAGTGGTAGAGAGTGAGCTGCACTTTAACAGTGGCTTGCAAGACTTATGAGAAGCGGGAGCAGATAATCTGACAAACCTCAACCTTGAAGATGGCTAGCAGCCAGCAGACCTACGATCTAATACGGGTGTTAGGCCGAGGTAATTTTGGCATTGTTTATGAAGCTGTCATCAGAAATACTTCTGCACAGGTTGCAATAAAGAAAGTGACATGCCAGACACCTGAAAACGTTGAACTAGCCCTTTGTGAGTACCTGGTACTAAACTCCATCAAGGACCAACATCCAAATGTGGTTCACTTAGAAGAATGCATCCTCCAAAAAGATGGGATGATGCAAAAGATGTCACACTGCTGTAATTCTCCCACTTATCTAGATCTTGTAGAGACTTCATTAAAAGGAGAAATTGCCTTTGACCCCAGAAGTGCCCATTATCTGTGGTTGGTGATGGACTTTTGTGATGGAGGAAATATGAATGATTATCTGTTGTCCAGAAAACCAGATCATAAAACTAACACCAGCTTTATGCTTCAACTGAGCAGTGCTATAGAATTTTTGCATAGAAACAAGATCATCCATCGAGATTTGAAGCCTGAAAATATCTTGGTTTCTTCAAGCGGTCTGGATACAAGTGACAAAGAACCCATATTAAAAGTGGCTGATTTTGGTTTAAGTAAAATTTGTTCAGCCTCTAGGGAGAACCCAGAAGAACCTGTCAGTGTAAACCAGGGTTTTATTTCCGCCCCATGTGGAACCGATTTATATATGGCTCCTGAAGTATGGGAAGGACATTACTCAGGAAAAACTGATATTTTTGCCCTGGGGATCATTTTCTGGGCAATGCAAGAAAGGATAACATTCATCGACAAGGAGAGCAACAAGGAACACTTGGGAAGTTATATAAAAAAGGGTACTGAGATTATACCAATTGGGATGGCACTCAAGGAAAATCCCAAAATGGAACTTGTCATTCCTGTGAAAAGAAAGTCTATGAATGTGCGAATTAAAAAATTGATTAAGGACATGCTGGCTGTAAACCCCGAGGATCGCCCAGATACTTCTGAGCTAGAATTCAGATTAGTAAAAATGGCATTTAGAGACAGTCGCTGCAAATTACAAAACAATTTGCAAATATCTTAGATGATATATTACTTCTGATTTAACAGTGATGCAACATCATGTAGCTGAAAATGAATAAAATAGCTATCTCCACATAAAAAGTGTATTGATTTTATTGTGGGATTTATTTTTCTTTATGCTTCTGAATCCACGCTGGCCATTTCATTTATATGTTTTAGATGTGTATTACCAATGTAGGTATAAATTTTTAAAATGATCATTGGCAGAATTTTGGAAAGAAAATTCTGTAAGAGCCAAGAAAGAATTCAGTTTTCTGATAATATATCAAGTATTTTAGACATTACTTGTCAGTGTTAGGCATTTCCATGGAAGAAGAGGTTTGCATTCCAGTAATGCAACATTTGAATCTTTCTAAAGGAAACATGAAACATATATGTATATATTTATGTATATGTAAGTATATTATTGTATGCATTTTTCATTCCATATGAAGAAAATGCCAATTGTATTTAAATTGTTTGTTATAGGTTTAAGTTTTTGAGACTTGCTGGTGAAATCAGTGATGAAAAATAAATAAACCTCCCCTCTTCTTTCTCCCTATCACTCCATCTAATGAAAAGTACTCAGTTTTTTTAATGGTATACGTTTTTTAGCCACCATTTTGAAGGGGCTATAATTATGAGTAAACATAATTGAAACTGAGCGATACAAAGCTGCTGAAGTAAGTTTGAACTCTCCAGTGCCCTACATATGCTAGGATTGAGTTAATTATGCAATTGTATAGTACTGGGTTGGCAAGGACACTAATAATTCAGTCATACCCTTAGGTAACTGAGCATTTAACTAATTAAACCACTGCATTGGGACATGTACTTAAGCATTGGTAATGTGATATATGTCATGCCTGGGCTAAATGAAACCTTCACAAGCAAGCAGGCTGCACTCAGCAAACAACAGACTATTCTCAGTAAACATGACAAATGGCCATAAAGAAAGTTTAGGATGGAATATACACTCTCCCCAGTGTCAAGAATTCCAAATATTGTCTACACACCTGCACCAACCATCCTTGGACCCTCAGTCATAAACATTCCTCATGAGCATATGCCCCTAGTTTTCTTTTCCAGCTAGATGCTAAACTCTGCCCCCCATTTGAGTCTCTGTTTACACTTTGACTAGAATAATTTTTATTCTCACAAAGCCTGTCTCCAAATGGCCTCACATGCCTTCATTTATAACATTCTGGGGTGCGAAACCCTGGAAAAGGGTACTCTCTTTGGAGAATTTTACACTCTATCTCAAATCCCACTGAGGCCACTCAGCAACATGTCTCTGGATTTTGCTTCAGTGCTCCAGGTAAGCTGCTCAGTCCCTCCATTCCAGTAGGCTTCAGATCAGGTAAGGCCTTTTTCCTATCCCCTAGGCCCCTCAGCCCTGATTTTCCACTTCCCATGAATCTCTTTCCTCTGCACTGCATCTTTAAGCCTCCCACCACATACTGCTGGTCTCTCTTTTCTCTGAGCTGTAATTTAAGAGCCCCTGCCACATCTGCCAAATGGCTGCCACTATGGCTGCTGCTTCAGCTGCTCCATAGTCCCACCCTTCCTTCTCCTTAGCTTCTCTTTCTCTCCTCTCACTCACCAAGACAGAGAGAGGTACATCTTGCATTTCTGTGCCGTGAAGGCAGGGCAGAGGTAAGGGAAAAAAATGAGAATCAAGACTTGTCATGTAGAGGTACAAGATCCCAACAATGAATGTAACTGTACTGTATCCCTAAAATGTACCAATAAACTCAATTAAAGCTGAAAAAAAATAAAATCCAACACTGGCCACATAAATCTCTACAAAGAACTGCCTTTTCCTTTGATAGTGGACCATTCATGGTGATTACAATCTTGGCTACTTACTCATGTCCTCTTTCAGCCTCAGTCACATTTAGAGACATCCATTCTTAACCCCATTGCAGTTCTGCCATGTTGGTATGACAAGAAAAAAATTATCTCTCTGTGTGTGAATGGGAAAGCTCCCTTCTTCTATCCCTCCTTCCTCTCATCTAGTATGGCTACTAGAGAATCTGAGATCTGTCTGCCTATATCTTAATCTGAAGCCTAAATATCTGATATTCTTCTGTAACGCTGCATGGCTAAAATATAAACTGGCTCTAAGTAGCCAGAGAATGGCACTTTTGATTTTTCTATCCTTTGGGACTTAGATGACTACTGCTGGAAGTTGAACAAATGGTCAGAAGGTCCCTTTGTTCAGTTATTCTTTATACTTCATAGCATTCCCTGTGCACTTCCTGTGAATTTCTCAGATCTGAGTTTTCTCCCTGCTATCTAAACCACCACTACCTGACAAAGTCATCTCCATAACAACAGATCCAAGTGACCTTGCTGTCCCCTAGTTGTTCCTAGCATCTCCAAATGCAGCTGCAATATCTGCTTCCCTCTCTCTTTCCAGAGCCTCCTGTTGTGACTGCAGGATCTGATGCTCTCCCTTTCCCAGGGTTCTCCCGCAGCAGCTGCCTCTCCCTCCCTTTCTAAGCTTCCTGTCATTTCTAGTCAGTTCCTGGTTGAATCCTCTGCTACTGCTCTCCCTGACAAAGCCCTCTTCTGCAAAATTCTGTCTGCTGGACCTGACCCTCTTCCATATGTTGTGCCCAATCCAACTCCACCCCATACCCAATCTGGACTGAAGTTCAGAGCTAACTCCCTAAGCCCCACACTCAAGTTGCTTCTTTGAGAAGTGACAGGGCAGAGGGGATCATTCCAGTCCATATTCTCTTCTCTCTGCCTGATCTGTCTCAGTTCAATCAGGTTTTATGTTTATTTTTCATAGATTCTACTAGATACAGTCAGGAGTTCTAATATTTCACTCAGTCTTATGACTTTCTTTGAGATGTTCTAAAAGTTATCCTCTCCTCAACCTCTCTCCAGTGGAACAAAATTTTATTTGATCTTTGGCCCAGGCTGCTGTAGCTCACCACAGATGCCTTGAACCTAATCTTCTGGAGGGCACAATGTCTATTAGCCAAGCCCACCTGAATTGGAATTTTAACTGGCTGTATGAGGAAGGATAATCCCCAGCTTGCAAAAGCCTTAACTATATGCTTACTTGCTGTGTTACTTTTCTCTCACTGCTGAGACAAAATAACCAACACCCAAAGTTGGAGGGGTAGGAGTTTATTTGGCTTGCACTTTGTAAAAGTTTCTGTCCATAATTGGTTGGCTCCAAGGGAGGGATGATGAACAGGCATCACAGAGGAGAAATAACATGCACTCATATAGTAGCAAAGACAACAAGAGAGCTTTAGTTCATGGCAGTGGACGACAGAAAAAGTAACAAGGAAAACTTAACAGCAACTTTTATCTTCTTCGGACCACTTAGGGCAGGTAGCACTCACACCCTTAATCCTAGTGCCCTTGAACCTAGCATGACATCATGAATCAATTCTAGCTCCACACACTATAGATCAAGCCTATGAGTACACAAGGCTTTGGGGGACATCTCAACCCAAACCATAAGACTTATTCAATTAAGGGACTCCACAACACAGCACATAGGACAGTTAATTATGATAGACAAAGAAACTACCCAAAGGATGACAATCTGGTCTAATTCATGGCCTGTTTGACTGCCGCCATCAGGCATTATATGGCCCTAGATCCAAGGAGCCTAGAAGGCCAACTTATTTTAAAGATACATATTATTAGTGTGTCCAAGATATTTGTAAAAAATTATAGAAAATTGAGCCTGGTCCTCCAACACCACATCAAGAACTATTAAATTTTGCTTTCTGGGACACAATGAGTAATAAAATGCATCTTTAAAATAAGTTGGCCTTCTGGGCTCCTTGGATCTAGGTCCATTTAATGCCTGAGGGTGGCAGTCAAACAGATCATGAATTCAATATGGTGATACCTCAAAGAGCTGGGACTAGCAGTTCCATTTGACCCAGCCATCCCTCTGCTGGGTATCTTTCCAAAAGAATTAAAAGAATCATATCACAGTGATATATGTGCACCTATGTTTATAGTGGCACAGTTTGCAATAGCTAAAACTTGGAAACAGCCCATTTGCCCATCATTTGGAGGCTGGATAAAGAAGATGTGGTTTTTCTATAAAATGGAATACTACTCAGCCATAAAGAATGAGAAATTAGACGCATTCATAGGAAAAAGGACGCATATAGAGGATATACTCCTAAGTGAAATAAATAAGTCATACATGTATAAATACCAAATACTTTCTCTGGTGTGAAAAACTATAATGGTACATAAGATCCTAATGATATAATTGACAATGTGAAATAGGAAGAAAGGGGATAAATGTGTAGGGGAAGTGGGAAGGGTAGGGGAAAGGGAATAAGGGAAAAGGAAAAAAATGAGAAAATGAAAAAAATGGAAATAAAGTATGTGTAAATAGGGAAGGAAGGAGGGGGTGAAGGGAGGGCAGGGGTAAAGGGAAAAAATGAGAACCAGGACCTGTCATGTAAAGGTACAATATCGCAATGATGAATATAACTATACTGCATACCTAAAATGTACCAATAAACTCAATGAGAAAAAAAAGGAAAAAAAAAAAAAACAAAGAAAATTTATAAGAACAGGGTGAATGTGCTTGACAGCAGTGCATTTCTGAGCTGCAAATGCTGGCCTCTACCATAAGAAACCCTGAGGGATTGGCTATCAAGGTAACTAATAAGGGATCAAAAATCTCCTCAGACTCGGGGTTTCCTTCTTGGGCCATGTTTCAAATGCCAGCAGAATGGACACTGGGCTAGGGGTTGCCCACAGCCTGGGATTCCCTAAAAGCCATGTCCTTCCTGTGAACATCCCCATTGGAAGTCAAATTGTTCAACAAAAGCAGTCACTTGTGCTACTTCTATCAACTCCTTCCCAGACATTCTTGGCCTAGCCACTGAACACTGACATCATCTGGAGACCACTGCACGTTTCTGGACCACTTTGGATGCTGTATTCCTAGTAACTATTATAGTGGACGGTAAGTCTATCCCATTCCTCCTTGACACAGGTCCTACACATTCTACCTTGCCTTGCTCTTGAGGACCAATCTCCTTGGCCCCAATTACTGTTGTGGAGATTGATGGCAAAATTTCCATATCTC